CTAGGCAAGTGCTATACCACTAAACTACATCCTCTGGCCTAATTTTTAAATTTCTTTTAATTTCTCATAGAGGAAATGTAATAAATAACCCACATAAACCAAAACTCCTACAGATTCTCAATCATCTGTGTAAATATTAAGAGGTTCTAAGACCAAAAACTTTGAGAACAGTGTCCTCCTGGCTGTTACAATTTTTTATAATTATACCATACTACAATACAGTAATTCCTCCAACAGACAATTGACAGATATAAGTCTCTCTGCCCCAAAATAAGTCATCCCAGACTACTCTACATATGGTCTCTGACTTATTAACAGCTTGACTTGACTTCTTTTTCACTTTACACTGATGCAAAAGTTACATTCAGTGGGACCATACTTCAAATTTTGCAAAAGTTACATTCAGTGGGACCATACTTCAAATTTTCTCCTGCTACCACTCCAAGAAATGATACTTTCTCACAGCTGCAGCACAAGATCTTGAGGCTCAACAACCACTATACAGTGTACTGAATTGCCAGAGTTAAGTATTCAATTACATGAGATACTCAACACTACTATAAAACAAGTTTTGTGTTAGGTGATTTTGCCAAACTACAGGTGGTGTTCCAGGAACATTTAAGGCAAGCTAAGCCAAACTATGTTAGTTTAATTGTACTAAGTGCTTTTTATTTTATTTTGGTCTTTTTGAGGCAGGGTCTCACTATGCAGTTCAGTCCGGCCTTGAACTTACTAGGTAGCCCAGGCTGGCCTGGAACTCACAATGAGGATCCTCCTGCCTCAGCCTCCTGAGTGCTGGGATTACAGGTATGCACCACCATGCCTGGCTACTAAGTGCATTCTTGATGTACAATATTTTCCAGTTATGATGGGTTTATCAATACACATAATCCCACTATAAGTTGAGGAGCATCTGTATTTTCCAAGTTATTCAATCTTTCCATTTTCCTATTCCTTTACTGTAACATCATGAGTCATAACTTTGTAATGCTGTCAGTGTGCCTTTTTCATCCTTTCTAGCACACCAAAATGTCAAGAAATAGCTCATATATAAAAGTAAATGGGCTCTGTCTGGTGTAGTGGCACACAACTGTAGTCCTAGCACTCACGAGGCTGAGGCAGGAAGATCTCCACAAGTTTGAGAGGAGCCTGGACGACATAGTGAGTTTAAGGCCAGCCTGAGCTACATAGAGAAAACATGTCTCTCAAAAAAAAAAGTAAATGGGCTCTGAATAAGGATGTCCCTATGAACGAAGTCCACAGGTTTTAGAATATCTGCTTTGATTATATAGGTATCATTTTTACTTCCTAGCTTTTCTATTATATTCTATTCTAAATTCACAGATAGATAAATGACCCCCAGATTTGTAAAGCTTTAATTTCTGAGATTCATTTATTGTCTTACATGTTATTATTTATACAACACAGTAAGGCCTTCATCCAGTAGTGTCTGGAACAAAATCTGAAGTGATAAGAACAAAGTGTGTGACAGAGTTCCAATGTACTTATTTCATGCAGGCAAAAAAAAGATAATTTCAAAATTTTAGGGACAGAGCCAGGGGTGAGACAAGATAGAAGCGAATGAAACAAAACACAGGAGGTACAGAGAAGTAAGTTTACATGTTTAAGAAGGCCAAAAAGATAATAAAACTAGAAGGCAGAAGGGGTTATAGAGAGTCATGACATGAGATTGATTATATAGCAACCTAATACTATCTCAACAATTAATTCTGGGAGCATTATACAGGGGAAAAACAAGGAAATAAAGTATAAATAAAAAAAAGTACAGTAATGAATATCAAAATACTGGTACGGTACACTGAGCTGAAAGGTAAAAGAAAAAAATTAAATGGGGCTAATCAAATAAATTTTTTCTACTGCATATTTTGAACAATTTTCTTGAGATGATAAATATGAAGTAATAAAAGTATGAAAGGGGAAGGCAAAATCTTTAATTGATAAACATAAAAAATAAGGGAAGTAAATGAAGCTACTACAAAATTAGGAAGCTAACAGAATTAGAAGAAAAAGCTGAACACTATCTAGATTTCTCTTTTGCCATTACAAAACCAAAGCCAAAGGAGAAAGCTAAAGTAGGTTAAATTTGGGAAAAAAAAAAAAAAAAAAAAAAAAGGGAGTAGCGTGGTCCAAAGGTTAAGGATAATAGGCAATCAAAAAGGGAAAATAATGTGTAGGAAAAAACAAAAAGTGGAAGGCAACAATGACAAAACAATTTCCTTAGATAACTTAAAAGCAAACACTACAAAGTCTAATTCATATCCATATTTTCTATGGCAATAATTGGCGGGGGTTGATTTTCTTAAGACAGAGTCCTGCTTTGTAGTTCAGATTGGCCTAGAACTCACAGCAACCCTCCTGCCTCAATCTACCAAGTGCTGGGATTACAGGCATGGGCCACCACACCTGGCCTAGGAAAAGACATCTTTAGGGGTTTATGCAGAAATAAATACAGCAGATAGAGAAACGAATGAGCAAAACAAAGAGTCAAAATGAAAATGCAAGCAACATAGGATATTTAAAAAGAACTGCGCTAAGTAGTAATTACCAAAAAAGAAAATTACTTTCCTATCCAGAATCTTTTAAATCTACGTAATTCTAAATTCTGCCATAAACTAGTTCTACAACACAAGCAGCTTACTCTCTACATATTACCTATTAGCAATTATTTCAAATAATATGCATCTCATTTTTTGAAATGTTAAAGTGTGACTTAGCTCAATAACGATGTTTAAACAGAACATTAGATGTTCTGCAACATGTAAAATGTCTCTACAGTTATCACTTAATTAACAATTAAAAATTTGGTTTCCATATTTTAATTTCTGTAAGCTTTAAAGCTAATGATAGTTTGATCTCAAGTGATAAGACTTCATAACAATATCTGAATTAGCTGAAGAGTTCATAATACCTGAAGTAGCTTATGTTTTGAAAACACATTACGTTCAATAAAGAGAACCTTTACACATTTTGTGTAATATAAGCACACACTGGAAGTACTCTGTATTTTCTTCTTTAAGCGAAGTCATACAATACTAAGAATATACCAACATTAAAGCTATTAAAAATATTTTAACTGTTTTCAAAACCTCACTTCTAACCTTTGTCCACATTGTAAATAGGCTTTGACAGTATTTATAGTTCTATGGTTGTATACAACTTTACTTTCATTAACTCAGTGCTAAACTGAATTTCAAGTCAACCACAAAATAAAGCCTTATTGAAGGTGAAAAAAGGAACCAAACACAACTACACAAGTGAACACCTCACTTGAAAAATATGTTCACAGGATCTAAACACACTATCCTTCAAGAAAAAAAAAGAATAGCCTCTATAAATAGGGATTTTGGTCTTTTCCAAGTCCTGCTGTACTTTTTTTATAATATAAAATTTACTTATTCAGAGAAACCATCTTTGAAAAGTGATATTTGTCTGTGAAAGATTTGCTCTACGAAGGCTTTGTTGCTGCGAGGCCAAGTACAAACCATATAAGGAAACTGAAGTTCAATGCCATTTATTTTGTTCCCCTCTTTCAGATGCTCGAGAATAACCTTTTGCTTCCAAATGATACATCCCCAAAGCATAAGCACACGTTATGCACTTTATATTCTTTGATAAAGCTAGTTTAACATAAACAGAAATAACCTGATGATTCACAAATCTTACCAAGAGTTTAAAAAGAACAATCTCCAGAGAGCAAGCTCTAGAAACAAAACAAAACACACAGTAATAAATCAAGATTCTCTTTTTAAAACACACTTAATGAAGACAAAGCCGCAAAGAACAAGTTGTGAAATAATTTGATCGTGATCTTTAATACTTTTTCTCTTTCAACTAAAAAGAAAATTAAGGTTTTCCTCAGATTTTTTGTAAATATACAAACCAGGAGAACACCGTATTTAGTATCTGTGCAAAGGTACAGTATTACCTTTCATCTCTCCTTCCCACAAAAGTAATGGGGAGAAACTAAATTTTAAAAAGACACCACCACCACCACCACCGAGGAAAACAGTCCGGGCTGGCCGCAGTCAGAACGAGTCGGCTCTGTGAAGGTTACCACTGGTCCGGCGGTATTCCTAGCTGACTGGTGGAATGTCTGCCAGGCTTCCCGAATTCCTGCCCGCACGCTCAGCACCTCTAGCACTTCATAAGCACAAAAACAGAGGGGCCAACACAAAAACGAGGACGGCGCAATTCAAGAGTTCAGCTTTTTATCACCATAAACGCGATTCCCATAAACGCGGTTTTAAACGCGTTACTTCCTTTCTTATATAATCTGTTGTGAGCTGCCCAGAAACCCTAACAGCTCAACTACTCACAGGTGTGCGCTGCTTCTTAAATCATGCCTCGCTCTTTTATCTGCAATCCTTACCCTCTTCTTAATGGATCAGTTACAACAAGCCTACCAGACCCAGCACGGCACTCGCTTCCAATTACTCAAGCAAGCCTCTAACCATTACAGGTACAACTAAGGGAAGCTACTAGCCACCCGGGAAAACAACGAAGAGCGTCAAGTTTTGTTTCTGAAACCTAATTAATATCTAGAAGGGCCCGAACACAAACATCAGCGTGTACGGTTCACGCAAAAAACGAAACAATCGGCACTGCACACACTCGCGGCAGCCATGTCAAACGCAGCACACTCGCGGCAGCAGCCCAACTTTCTTCCACAACAAAACTTGCCGCGATCAGCAACTTCGCATACGTCTACACGTCCCGGAAAAGCAGCACCTCTGGCCCCTGGGCTGAACAAAGCGCGCTTTATTCGGCCTGCTGAAAACTTTTCGTCCCACCGCATTCTTAGAACCTCTTCAAAAAAATAACAAAATAAAATCCAGATGGTGGAAAGGGGAGAAACTCAGTTCTAAGTACTGAGCAAAGTCAGCCCCACTCCGCGCGGAGGGAGGACCGTGCGGGGCACGGCGAAGCCCCGCCGCCTCCCCGGGAACTCGCCGGCCCGCGGACGCTCTCCGCCGAGTTACCTTTCGGCCGGACGCGGCTCAGGGCAGCGCCTCCGAGGCTCGGCGTGACATGATTTCCTCCCCTGCGTGAGTCACTCGGCTCCAACCGAATTTCTCGGCCGGGCGCGCGCGGCCTCCGGCAGTCCCGGCAGGCGGCTCCGGGGGGGCCGGGCGCGGGCGGGCTTCCTGGTCCGACTCGTGCAGGAGTTTCCCAGCCCCAACCGGGATCTCCGCCGAAGGAGGAAAAAGAACTTCTCACTCGTGACACCGCCCGGAATTGCCGTGCGAAACTCACTTCCTGCCGCGCCGCGGAGCAGGCTCCGGCTCCGTCCCGGGGAACCCGGAA